TGCCGTGTTGTTAGGGGAAGGATGAAAACCACAGAAATGAGTCTGAGTTAAAAGTCTGCACCCCATACAAGAATTTCCATTTTCCTCCGCATGGCATCAGATTCTTCATACATAAGATGTCCTGTCTGAACCACATGCCACCCTGGAACAAGGAGAAGGGGACCACACGAAACTGCGGTAGGGGTCCCTTCTGTGGATCGTAGCACCTGCTCATGCACCACGACGTTGAAGCAGACTGGGCTGTAGTTCTCTGCATGACTCCAGTGTTAGACTGAGGCCTTGTCCATAAAGCTGGGGACTGTCTTCTCCCCCGCTGTATCCCCAGGGCCCAGCCTGTAGGAGCCACTGAAGTATTTGTTGGGTAAGTGAAGGATGAAACATTTCAGCATTTTTCCTAGTAGGACCTCAGGCTTCCCCAGGGGGTTCGGATTTGTTTGAGCTCCCCTGATGCTCCTCCTGGGTGCCTTAGGACGTCGCCCGAAGCAAACCCAGAGTGGATCCAGAGGAGAATGACACGCAGAACCAGGGCCCCTGACTCGGTCCCCTCCGCTGGAACTCCTGGATGGTCCCGGATCTCTGGATTTTCAGACAGTGGGCAAATGCCTCAGCACCCACGGCTCATTCCCTTCCCGAGGTTACCTGTGTTTTTAGATATTAGCTCAGGAAAGTGAGGGATAAACGAACTCCCTGGGACCCAGCCGAGGCGCTGTGCCAGGTGTGAGGCACGTGTCTCCGACTCATCTCACTGGAGGAAGAAGACGAAGGAGGAGGCCCTGGGCCGGCACTGCCTCTTCCCGTCACGAAGGACTAGACGCTGAGGACCCGGGTTCACAGAAGCTCATAGAATTTTGAGAGTGGAAGGGGTGTTAGAGTCACGTGAGCCTCTCCGCTGCTCGACTCTCCCGAATAACACAGCCACGAAGCGGACACTCGCTTAGCCACCCTGTGAGTGGCCACGACAAGACTACGAGCAGGCTTTACGCCCCTCTCGGGCAGATGGATGGATGGATGCCCCACAACGGATGGCTCCTGGTCCCTCCTGCCTAAAGGTGTTTGGAATTGGAAAATTCTGCCCCTCCCCCGAAATGTATGTATCCAGCTGTAATGGACCCAAATTTACCTTACACACCTTTCTTCTTAGTTTTTTGTCTCTGCCATTTATTTGCCCTTGCAAATGACTTGCTGATTGACTTCCATATGTAATAAATGGCACAGCTCATCCCATTTCCCATGCAGAAGTGGTAGTCAATGGCCAAGCTCTTGGCAAAACTCATAGAAGGCTCCTGTGGACAAAATCTGGAGGAGGACATCACCCAGGAATGAGGCTAGAGCCCCAGTGAGGGTGGAAGATGCCTACTAGCTCTTCCCACAGATTCCTCCGCCCCTCCTACAATCCCCTTGTCCTATCTGAAAAGGGAAGCCTTATTTATTCTTTTTCCAAATTTCTAGATGTCTTGAATTTCTTGCCCTTCCCTTGATGACTACCGTAGGTAGTTAGAGAAGGAACCTCATGGTTCTTCTTGCCTCCTTGGCCAGGGAACATTCTGGTGAAGAGGTGAGCCAGCAATTACACTCTTAGGTATATACCCCAAAATCTTGAAAACAAATGTTCAAACAAAAGCTTATACAGAAAAATTCACTGAAGCACTGCTCACATAACCAAAAGGTAGAAACAACCCAAACATCCCATCCGCTGATGAATGGATAAGCAAAATGTGGTGTATCCATATGGTTGATTTTTTTTTTTTCAAAATAGATGAGTTTAATTGCCTACTAGACCAACCAGATGCAATAGGTGATAAATGAATGGAAACCAGGATCATAAAAGTAGGAGGGAGGCAGGCATTTTAGACCAGTTTAGGTTTGTCCCCTGCCCTGCTCACTCTCCCTCTCTCAAAATAGATAAAATCTTTAAAAACAAAATAAACTTTTAAAATAAAACTTTTTAAAAAAGATTTTATTTATTTATTTGAGAGGGCAAGCACAAGCAGGGAGAGGATCAGAGGCAGAGGAAGAGGCAGACTCTACTGAACAGAGAGCCCCACAAGATTCGGGGCTCAATTGCAGGATCCTGGGATCATGACCTGAGCCAAAGGCAGATACCCAACCAACTGAGCCACCCAGGCGCCCCAAAATAAAACTTTTTACCACAATAAACAGAACAATATATTAAAACTGACTTCCAGGATTGTCCAAATTTTTAAAATCATGATTAAAACACTTTTTTTTCACATTTCTTTAAATGTCATGTCTTCTTTGGCAAGTTTATTCAAAATACTACATTTCCATTTATTTATATAACAGAGTGCCCTAAATTAAGGTTCATCATAATACCTGTCTCTAAGCCCTAATGGTTTATATCTTCCCTTTAAAATGTATAATATCGAAAAAATAAAGTAAAATAAAATGTATAATAATCGGGCAGCCCGGGTAGCTCAGGAGTTTAGCGCCGCCTTCAGCCCAGGGCCTGGTCCTGGAGACCCGGGATCGAGTCCGACGTCGGGCTCCCTGCATGGAGCCTGCTTCTCCCTCTGCCTGTGTCTCAACCTCTCTCTCTGTGTCTCTCATGAATAAATAAATCTTTTAAAAAATGTATAATATCTTTTAAAACTGTACAAGTATCTTTTAATTACATTATCATTTTCAAAGAACTCCATGGGGAAAAATTATGAATTAAACACCTGTAAGTTTTCCTCATTTCTGTTATAGTACAGCAATTGGTCATCTCACCTGCAGTGGCCTAGCAACTGAGAAAGGGCCAGATGCAGCTGACTGGCCCTCAAGAAAGCAAAAGCTGACTACAGCTTCTCCACTTCTTTTCAAGCAACCCCGTAACTGATGCAAGTCATTCTTTGGTCTATACATTATGCTAGTTTTAGTCCCTGAAGAAAGTCTTCCTTTTCCTGAACCTGCTTCACCAGTTTTGCTTGTTCTTCATTGAATCCTGGTTTGGGGATTCTCATTCATAAAATCATCTTTGGAGACCACGGCCTGCCCCAGGAGCAAGTGGATAGATTCACAGGCATCGATATTGTTGAAGGTATTTTGCAGAATACGTACTTCCTTCAAATTTACTATCTCTGTGTTTAAAATATTCTCGATATTCCATCACAGTTTTCTTCGGGTGAAGACGCTGGTTTCTTTGAGGGGCTCTAATAGTCCTCATTCTCTACCTGAAGACGTTTTACCAGGCTGTAACAGGGATTAAACAAAGATCTTGTTTTCCTTAATCATCGTCTAAGTGTTGCACTTAGAAGGTTCTTCTCTTGAGCTGCTTGTGTGGGGAGGTCGTGGATCGGCGCAGGCCTGGGGAGTCCTGGGTAAAGTCACAGAGAACTTTGATGCACTTTCTGTCGTGGAAATGAAATCTTGGTTTGCCTCTCCCGGAGCCGTGGCGGGGAGTACAGCAAGCCCACCCAATATTATCCATTATTCCGCAGCTATAAAAAGGAGTGAAGTCTTGATACATGCTACAACATGGACAAACCTTGAAAACATTTTGCTAAGTAAAAGAAGGCATGCACAAAGGCCACATTGTATGATTCCATTTATATGAAATACGGAGAAGAGACAAATCTGTAGAGAAAAAAGCAGATTAGTGGTTGCCGGGGGCTGGGGGTGGCCGAGAAAGGGAGTAACTGCTAATGGATGTGGGGTTTCCTTGGGGGATGATGAAAATGTTCTGGAACTAAATAGCGGTGATGGTTGCACAACATTGTGAATCTACTAAATTCCACTGGGTTTTACACTTTAAAATGGACACAGTGGTGAATTTTGCACCAATCAATAAAATAACGACTGCAAAAATAAAGGAGAACCGACCAACCAACCCAGGGTTGAAAGAGGAGGAGGAAGGGAAGGATCTGGAATCTAGAACATTTCTCTGAGTTGATAGCTTCCTCATCTGTACCGTGGTGGTAATAATGTCCCCATACCCCAGCTGGCGTGAGTAATGACATGAATAAGTGTCACGTAAACACTTAGCACTAGCAGCGCTCAAAGCGAATGTTAATTGCCTTCTTTTCTATGTAAGTATCTAAAGCTATTTGTCCCCTTTATACCTTTATTCCTTATGACTGTGGATGTGGCTCCAGCCACTCTGTTCTTCGCAAGGGCTCCTCCCACTCTCCCTTACGGCCTTGGCAGGCTGCTCGGCCATCTGGGATGTTGTCCAGCCTCCAATTTTAAAGGCCAGTAGGGTCATTAGGCCACTGCCACAGAATCACTTAAGAGCCGATTCTGTGGGACCCACCTGCTGAATCAGACTCTCTGGGGATGCTTACTTCAGGGGAATCTGGTGTCTGTATTTTTTACTAAGTGCTCCAGCAATGAGTGTGCATATTCATGTTTGGGACTACCGTTTTGATATATTCCTGTCTTTACCATCTCTTCCAGGAAGTCTGCTCAGACTCCTCCCCTGAGAAGCCCTCTGATAGAGTGTTCCTTTCCGGTGTCTTTGGTTCTCAATATCGCGGCCAAAGTCACCTTGGGTTCCCCTGGGTCTGCTCTCTCCCTGCAGACTGGGCGACTACCAGGGACAGATGCCTGGCCCTCTCTTTCCTCTTATCACCCTGGTTTCCTCCTGAGTGTAGGTTCTCCTGGGATGCTGTAGGAAGACACTTCATTTTTATTTTTTAATTAAAAAATTTTTTTAAAAGATTTTATTTATTCATTCATGAGAGACACACAGAGAGAGAGGCAGAGACACAGGCAGAGGGAGAAGCAGGCTCCATGCAGGGAGCCTGATGCAGGACTCGATCCCAGGACCCCGGGATCACGACCTGAGCCAAAGGCAGGTGCTCAACCACTGAGCCACACAGGTGTCCCATTTCAGTTTTAAAGTCCTTAGAATCTTATTTCCTTACTTCTACAGATATTTGAGAGAACTTAGATTCTCTCTTCCTACCATTCTGCTCCTGACTTTTTGAGATGATATAGAAGTTGTATTACTGTGTCACATCAGCCTTTGCTCTTCCCTCGTTTCCCATGTCTTCCCACAGGATGTGCTAGGTGTGGGCCGGCCCCCACCCCACCCTGACAAGTGACCATGGATCCTGGAGCCGGGGCAGAGTCATCTCTGACTGTCAATGAGCAGGTATATTCTGGGGCAAGAAGAGGCAGGGGAGTGAGGGGCATGGACACTGGGGCTGTGGCCAGGAGGAAGACCCCACAGAGCCCATCAGTATCTGTTTCCTACCAAAATTCATGGTCACTTCACCCATCCAGGTGTAGCTACCAGCAAGGATTTCTCAGGGGCTGAGTCGGGGGGTTTAAGCTGTAACTTGAAAAAATCAAATTAAAATACACAAATTGTTTTTAAAATAAACAAACAAACAAATAAATAAAATATACAAATATGTATGGGGTGTCAGTAAAACATGTGACTCGATTTTGGGGTTGTGAGTTCAAGCCCCACATCTAAAAAATAAATAAAAAATTTAAAATATATACAAATAATGTATAAGTTTACATAAGAAAACATATAGACATTAATATAATTTACTCTATTTTTTCCTATATATTTCATAGTTTTTTGTACTGAACATGTTTATTACATAATTTTTTAAAAGGAAAAAAGGATTAATCTCTTAAAATGCAATTGGACCGAAGTCCTTCATAGCTCAAGATTGAATCAGAAATGGAACTGCTTTTGGAGGTTTATTTCATTCATACCTCCCTGATGGGTCACACTGTCACTTTTTCCAGCAATCTCTGGCTGGATTCAATTTTCAGGCTTATGGACCAGGTTGTGGGAGTGCCTTCGGGTACAGGCCAAGTGCAGGGGAGGCCTGAGAGAGCTTTTGAGTATACAGAGTGTCCCTGATGCTTGAATGGCCCAATTCAAAGCAGGTCAGTGACGGAGGTAAAGAGCTGGGGAGTCCTGACTGTCTGAGCAGGAGAAGAAGACTAAGTGTTCTGAGGAGGCCCCGGGGCTGCTCCACTGGCATGTGGGAGGTCCCCTCGAGGCTGGAGCGTGCCCACCGATGGCACGACTGGACGAGCAGCTCACAGGGTACAAAGCTCCAGTCCAGGAGGTGGGGCAAGAGCCGGCATCTACAGGATTCTTGACCCTCGTTTCAGGAAGTTAGCTTGCAGGGAAATCTTGGCCTTTACCCCAGTGTTTTGGAAATAAAGGAATCATGAGCTTAAAAAGTTACTCAACGTTGTGGAATATTCGTTTTCCACCCCTCTATCTTTGAGGGAACTTCTATGAGGTTTCAAGAGAAGTGAAGAGGAATTTGCCTCTTGGCCCAGCTTAAGCAGTGGGTTCTGTGTTAGGGGCCTTCGTAACCTCACTCCAATATCCTAGCAGCTAAGAGGATACCCTTGCAAGGCTGTGGGATCGGCCACTTACCACTCCCTGAACTGAGTCCAGGAGGGGGGCAAATAGAAATATCCCCAAGTGGTTTGGCTCTGTGGGGCCTTTCCCAGCATGTGTCAAGCTTTGCCCCTGTCACCAGGCCCCCAGTTCCTTTCAGAAGCTCTTTTCTTGGAATCAGGGAGCGGCGGCCCAGCCACAGACCGTGGAATTGTCACAGAGCGCATGAACCTCAGGCATGAGGTCTACATCTTTTTTTTTTTTTAAAGATTTTATTTATTTATTCATGAGAGACACAGAGAGAAAGGCAGAGACACGGGCAGAGGAAGAAGCAGGCTCCATGCAGGAACCTGATGTGGGACTCGATCCCGGGTCTCCAGGATCATGCCCTGGGCTGAAGGCAGCGTTAAACCGCTGAGCCACCCAGGTGCCCAGGATGTCCGCATCTTGAGGTGCCCTCCCCTCTCACCCCAGCCATACCCAGAGCTCTGCTCCCCAGGAGCTAGACTGGCTGCTCCCCACCAGCAGAGCCCCCTGTCCTCTGTTTGCAGGTCATCGTGATGTCAGGCCACGAGACCATCCGCGTGCTGGAGGTTGGAGTGGATGCCCAGATCTCTGCTGAGGAGGAGGGCAAAGGGCTGGAGGGTGTGGCTGCCGAGGGCTCCCAGAGCAGAGGCCCTGGCGAAGCCAGTGAACCAGCTGGTGAGGCTGGGCCAGACAACCCGGACTCCTCTGCAGAGGCAACTGGTACGAGGCCATCGTTCCCATCTGGCATTGGTCTACCTGCGTCCTTTTCTCTGGCTCCTCGGAGAGTTGGCATGAGTCCCTGGGGCCTAGGTAGCCAGCCTTAAGGTCTTGTTGGCTTCCTGTCCACTGGACAGCCTCTGCCACAGCTAGACTTCTTGCTCAGCTCCTAGGGCTGTCCTGCCCTCGTTGGCCTTGGAACTCTAGATCTGGTTTCGATCACTTCCACATCTGTACTGGGAGGGGTCAGGGTGAGGTGGGACGAGAATGGCAAGGCTTAGTTGAGGGGATTGAATTAACCTCAGGGAGGGAGAGCTCCAGGTCTAAGCCAGACCGTTGGGCCCAATGCAGAGCAGACTAGACCTTTAGGATCCTGACAGCCCTTCTGACTCAGTACCTTTGGTGGTAGATCTGGGAGGTCCCAACAACTGGGGAGAAGAGGGCATGTTACCTACCCTGGACTGAGGGTGTGGATTAGGTAGGACCTTCCAGAATCCCAGCTGGGCTGATGTGAGTCAAGCCTGGTGGTCTTACTTGTGCTGTCCTCTAAGGGCAACTATAGGGCAAGAGTGTGATTCTCCTGTATGGGGAACGGAGAGAGATGATCCACTCACAGCATCTCTCCTAATTACCCTGCAGCATAGCTGTGACACAACCAGGGCTGTTCTAGAGGCTAGGACTGGTGCCAGGCATGCCTCTCTGGCCGGCTGTGGGGCACCCTTTCCTGGACTCTTCTCGTTGATAACCTTGCAGCATAGACCTCTTTTGCTAGAAACCTGGGACCTCCCTAATCAGGCCCCTCAGATTCCATGGTTCATCTCCCCTGGCCTTCTGCTTATCTCCCCTTCCCTAGATTGGAGATCTGGGCTGGTGGGGGTGGGCCAAAGGAGGAGGCAAGAAGAGAGCTAATGAGGCTTTTGGGAAACAGCAACTCCCTAATAAGAAAGTGCAAGACCTCACATCCCTTATTCTACCTGCAAATCAGTATGCAGATTCATTTGAGACCCTAATAACCCACAGTTTTTATTTATTTATTTATTTATTTATTTATTTAGTTATTTATTTATTTATTTATGATAGTCACAGAGAGAGAAAGAGAGAGAGGCAGAGACATAGGCAGAGGGAGAAGCAGGCTCCATGCACCGGGAGCCCGACATGGGATTCGATCCCGGGTCTCCAGGATCGCGCCCTGGGCCAAAGGCAGGCGCCAAACCGCTGCGCCACCCAGGGATCCCCCACAGTTATTCTTTCTCCTTTTGAATGAAGGAATGGCAGAACCCATGACCATGTCCCCCTAGCCTGGAAATGCTCTGCTCTGTGTTCAGGCCAGGATGGGCATCACCTCCTGGGGGGCAGTGCCCTGGAGAGCAGACAGCAAAAGGGATTTTACATCTGACCACCCTTATGATTCTTTTCCGTGGTGGGGATGGGGCCCCTTTTCAGAAAATTTGGGAGGTTTTGTAAGTTTATCCACAGTGTCCTGATTTCCGTTTTTACTTTTTTTTTTTTTTTAAGAGGGAGGTAGGGGAGGGGGCAGAGGGAGAGAGAGTCTTAAGCAGGCTCACGCTCATCATGGAGCCCGATGTGGGGCCCAATCCCATGACCCTGAGATCAGGACCTGAGCTGAAATCAAGAGGCGGACATTTAACTGACTGAGCCACCCAGGTGCCTCATCCATTTTTACTCATCTTCTGTATCTCATTTCTTCTGGTGCCTTAATTCTGTTCCTTGTCCAAACTGCTCTCAGGAATGGATCCTGAATCAGCTATTTATATCTTAGCATGAGTGTTCATGGTAGTGTGCTTCTCCTTCCAGAGGTTTGTATTCTGAAGCCTTTCACGAAAATCCTATTCTCTGTAAAGGAATTTTAGTTATCATCAAGAAGGTAAGGGAGGTATTTTGACAGTACCTCCTAAGAAGCTGCCAACTTAGGCCAAAGACTGTGGCCTTGCCGTCTTTCCAGATATATAATACTGAGAAGAGTTTCCTCTTAAAACAAAACTAAGTAATGGGAACTTTTTTTTTTTTTTTGTATTCGTGAGAGACACACAGAGAGAGAGAGGCAGAGACACAGGCAGAGGGAGAAGTGGACTCCATGCGGGGAGCCCGATGCGGGACTCGATCCCAGATCCCAGGATCATGACCTGAGCTGAAGGCAGCCACCCATCTGCTGAGCCACCCAGGTGTCCCAGTATTGGGAAACTTTTTCAGGATGAAAAAGATCTAGTGATTTCTATAACTCTAAATTACTACCCAAGTCCTTGTCACAAATACGTACTTTTTTTTTAAAGATTTTATTTATTCATGAGAGGCAGAGACACAGGCAGAGGCAGAAGCAGAAGCAGGCTCCCTGCGGGGAGCCCTATGTGGGACTCGATCCAAGGACCCTGGGATCACGACCTGAGCCCAAGGCAGATGCTCAACCATGGAGCCACCCAGGTGCCTCACGAGTATATTTTTTTATAGTTGTGGCCACCAAAGGTAGACAGTAGTAGGACACTTATCACCATATTATTTCTATGGCCATTTCCTTTATTGACATAGATTCACACACCTGATTCTGGTTTTGGCTATTGTCAAACCGTCTGGTTTTTCATTGTCATAACTGGTGCTGCTTTGCGTGTCTTTGTACTGGTCCTTTGAAATTTTTTTTTTCCTTTGAGGTGTAGTCCACCAGAATTCCTTTTGAAGAGAAATCAGTTGTGTACATAGGAGAAGTCATCACATGGAAAAATACAAAATCTGTCAATGAGATAGAGTCCCACATCATGAGAGGACAAGTAATTGGCTATAAGGTACCACTTGCCTGTTAAGCCAGAAAAATAAACAGTGATAAAACCTCAAGTGGGTGGCACTGTGGAGAAATAGGTACATTATTGATGGTTCTGTGAATTGGCTCAGTCTTTCTGAAAAGCAGTCTCGCAGAAGTGACAAAAGCCCTAAATGTATGCAAACCCTTGGGCCCTGGGTCCTACTTTGGAAATAAATCCTAATAAAATGATTATCTCCTTTAGATGGTAAGCTTTTCTCATTCATATTCATCACATACCCATTTTCCCGCTTTCCTTTTTTTCGATTGCATAAAACTTTGCCAAGCAAAATATTTTTTAAATTTTTCATAGATTCAGAGTATCTATCCATATATCCTCTGATTTTTTTTTTTTTCAATAGGATTGTCTTTCCCCTCCTGGGGAGATGAACCTACCATTTTGTTTTCTGTTTGAATTTTAGAAGGCTTTAGTTCTTGCCTGTTTGTCTCTTTAATTCCTTAAACAATTGGATTTTTTTTTTCATTATATACTGTAAACATTACGGTCCTGAGTTAGGTTGCTGCCTTTTGAGATTAAAACAGAAGCTGGGAATGCAGGGTTGGAAGGTCATCTAATTCAATGGTTCCCACTCTGGCTGTGTGCTGTATCACAAATGAGCTTAAAAGAAGAGAGAGGAGAGGTTGCTGGCCTCCACTCCCGGATATTCCGATTCGGTCATCCTAGGTCAGGGCCTGGAAATCTATGCCCAGCCAGTAGTAAGAGGCCGCCAGTCTGGTCTAACCTCAGTCACCCAATACATAGTCTCACCCTGTATTATATAATAACCCCCTCCTCATTGTTGTGTGGCTTTGAAGAGGTTTCCTTGCAGGGGTCCCCAATACCTGACTAAGTCGGGGGAGCAAGAGGAAGCTATAGCCTGGGTGAAAAGCTCTGGTTCATGGGAAGTTCCTTTAGAAGCTCAGTGAAGCTTCTCACCCGGGCTTCAGACCTCAGGCACCGGCAGAGAACCGCTGCCCAGCCTGGAGTGCCCCTGTGTTCTGGAGTGGGGCAAAGACCTGTCCAGTTTTCAGGGATTGTCACTTCAAGGACTTGGCCCTCTGGGAGTCCTTGTAGCCTTCCCCCAGCCAGCACCTGCCTCCAGGTGCGGACAATGGTTCAGGGGTTGGAGCCAAGGGAAGTTGCTCCCATCCATTCTAGCTCCTTCCTGGCCTGACAGTCATTCACTTTAGAGCCTTCTACTGATTTTGTGATAGGTCACCATGTCCTGTGGAGTCAGGAAAGGAGCGACCGAGAGCCAACTGTGCACAGGCCTGCATATTCTCCAGCTAGATGTGGGAAGAAGGTTACCCCCCTTGCAGGTCTGGCACAGGGCTCCCCAGCCTCCCGTTCCCTCTACCTGTAACATTTGGGAAGTGTCTCCGGGACCAGGGAAGGCCAGTGATTGGCCCTGGGTTATGCAGAAATACAATGTGAGGCTGAGAGTTGCCACCTCAAGCTGCAATGGGATGCTCTATCTGGTGACCCCTCCACTCATACCAGGCTCACTCCTTGTCCTTTCTCTCAATGCCACATGAAGTGAAGTCTCTCCCGGGGATCCCTCCGAGTCCTGCCCCCGCTGTTGCCACCTTCAGCCAAGCCCCGAGCCAGCCTCAGGCATCGCAGACCCTGACACCACTGGCTGTACAAGCTGCCCCCCAGGTAAGGGCCACCCAGAGAGCTGAACAGAGGGCCCTGGGGCTGGAAGCAAAGCGTGGGATGGCCAACGTGGGGTGGCCGTGGGATCTGGGAGTTTCACGGGCAGAACAGGGAAGGGGGTGCGGCTTGAAGGGGAGAATGTCCTCCTGGGCACCTCTGGCCTCTCCCCACCCCAGATCCGGCCCCGTTGGGAAGATTAGATGTGTGTTTGCCAAGTCCCGTCCTTGGGTCCAGCAAGGGTTGTAGAGATAACATTAACTCTTTAAGGCCACCGGCGTTTCCACTTCTCTCAGGACTCAATGAGCCTGGTACCCTCCGGTGGATGCCTGGAAGAGTTAATGCGTGGCTCAGAGTCCTCATTTAGAGCCAGGGGGCAGCCCCAGCACAGCGAGGAGCTGCCTGCCAGCCCCCCCACCCCCGCCCCTGCCCTGCTGAGCTCCCGGTGGCCCTTGGCTACAAGCGCAGACCTGCAAGGCCCCTGGCGGGGGTAGCCCCCCATCAGAGCATCCCGCGGGCCTCTGTATGGGCCCTGCCCCTGCTTCCCGGTCCTGTGGGAAAGGCAGAGGCCCAGGAAAGGCCTAGGCGGCGACGGACCGCGGTGGGAGAGAGGCCTGTGCCCCCTTGCTGTCCCGGGAGCGGGGCCAGGCCCTGTCTCCCCCCGCAGCTTCTCTGAAGGCAGGCTAGTGCGGCCCAGGCACCCCCAGGGCTGGGCCTCCGGCTGGGGCTGGGGCTGGGGCGGGTCTCTTCCCCCCCCTCCCGCCGCCGCTCCCCCCACGGCCCTCAGAATGCTTTGTTTGTGCTCGACCGGGTCTCAGAGACCCGGTGTTTGCGCTGTCGATGTTGATTTTTTTTATTTTTTTCTTTTCTTTTTTGAAATCTTGTTTGCTTTTGCAGGTCTTGACTCAGGAAAACTTAGCCACAGTTCTGACAGGAGTTATGGTTCCGGCAGGGGCAGTTACTCAACCTCTTCTTATCCCCATCAGTATTGCAGGTCAAGTGGCTGGTCAGCAGGGGCTGGCCGTGTGGACAATTCCTACGGCAACCGTGGCCGCCCTCCCAGGACTGACAGCTGCTTCTCCCACGGGGGGCGTTTTCAAGCCACCTTTAGCCGGTCTGCAAGGTAACGGCAGCTCTCCCCAGGACGGCAGCAGGCCCCCACCGCCCTATACCGCCGCCCCTGCGCCCGCGCTTGCCATGCTGGACTCAGAACCCGCGCCCCGCGGGGCCACAGCCCGCCCTGGAGTCTGGACCCGGTGTCGCGGGCCCCGGCCCCGGCCACGGCCACGGAGCGGCCGCACCACCTCGGGACTCCAGGCCCCGCCCGGCACGGGCCGGCGCCGCAGGCCTGTCTGACTTCGGCCACCCGGGACGCCCCGTGCCCCCGCCCCCGGGCCCCGCGCCCCCGCGCCCCCGCGCCGGAGCCCACCACCCCCCGGCCGGCCTCCTGCAAGGCCTCCTGCAAGGACCGCGCAAGATTCGGCTTCTGGCTCCGGACCTCCGGACCTCGACAGCTCCCGGCCCGGCCCCGGGGGGGATGAGATGCCGCTGCCCGAGCTGCCCCAGGACGCCGCCCCGCTCGCTGTCCCCGCCCTCCCCCGTGGGCCAGGTCCCTTGGGATGGAGCCGCCCGGCCCGGCCAGGCGGGTGAGCGCCGTGTCTCTGCCTTGCTCCGCAGCAGCCGCCGTGCTCAACGCCGCGCTCCCGGCCCCCGCGCCCGCCGCGCCCGCCGCGCCCGCCGCCCGCCGTCCCGGCCGCCCCGCCCGCCCCGCCGCGGCCCGCGGCCCAGCCCCAGCCGCTCTTCCAGCCGCAGCCGCTGCTGCAGACGGCGCCCGCCCTCCTGCCGCAGCCCCCCGCCGCCGCCGCCGCCGCCGCCGCCGCGCCCAAGCCGGTGGACGCCCCCCCGCAGATCGCCGTGCAGCCTGCAGGCTTCGCCTTGAGCCCGGGAATCGTAAGCCGCCGCCCCGCCCGGGCCGCCCGGGACGCACCGATGTGGGCCAGGGGCGCGCCCGGCCCTCCGCGCGGGGAGGCGCCCGCCCCATCAGCGCGGACCACCTGCGCCCAGAGCCCGGGCCAGTCCTCCGGAACCCGGCCCGCTGCGCCCGCTGCGCCCGCTGCACCGGCCGGAGGGTGGGGTGACGTCTGCGGATGGCAGCCCGGGAGCTGCAGCTGCGAGGAGCCCCAGGCCCACGCCCCGCGTGGCGGGGGAGCCCGGGGATGTGGCTAGAATCACATCAGCCGCCCCGGGCCTGGGTTTTCCGTCCTGCCAGGCCTGGCCTGAAACATTGGCCAGAGCTGCTCCTCCGTGCGCGGCCCCACCGGTCCCCATTCACGTCCACCCAGCACCTGGCTCCCCACCCCCCCAAGAGCACTCAGCCTTCCCCTCCCAGCCTTGGGCTCCTTCTGGCCCGTCGGCCTCTGAGCAAGGCTCTCTCTCCCCCCGCAGATCAGTGCTGCTTCCCTCGGGGGACAGACCCAGATCCTAGGCTCCCTCACTACCACTCCGGTCATTGCCAACGCCATTCCCAGCATGCCGGGGATCAGCAGTCAGATCCTCACCAACGCTCAGGGACAGGCAAGTGGTCAAAGCCAGGGCTGAGGGGTGGGGGCCGTGGAGACGCTGCCCGGAGGGCCAGGACTCGAGCTCAGGGCCCCAGGAGCTGGACCAGGGTGTCAAGCTGCTGGTCGCACCTCTTGTGTGGCAGCTCTCTGCGGATGCTGAGCCCAGGCAGGGGTGTAGCCACCACCCTGCCCTGCAGGTGCTCACTTCTAGTTGGGGGTTTTCATTGGTGGAGCACCCACTTTGTGGCCAGGCTCTCTGTGTTAGGCGCTTTCTCGCACATTATCTCCCCTCATTTTGAGTGCAGGTCTGTTAGGTGGAGATTTTCACGCCCGTTTTACAGGGGAGAAGGCTGAGGCTCAGAGAAATTAAGGTAGGGCAGGGATTCACGTCCACGGCGGTGCGAATCATGTGCAGACCTATTCCTGCTCCACCACCGCTCTAGAGATAGATTGAAGGAAGCAGCTCCTAGAGTATGAACCCTTTTCTCTATTGATGAGGAAATTGAGGTCCAGGAGGGTTAAATGAGTTAAGTCCCTTCCCTGCCAGCGTGGGGATTTGGGCAAGGGACAGAACCAGACACTGGCCTCACCCCTGGGGTCCCTGCGTTGTTTCCCCCCAGGTTATTGGAGCGCTTCCGTGGGTAGTGAACTCGGCTAGCGTGGCAGCCCCAGCACCAGCCCAGAGCCTGCAGGTCCAGGCTGTGACACCCCAGCTGTTGTTGAATGCCCAGGGCCAGGTGATTGCGACCCTGGCCAGCAGCCCCCTGCCTCCACCTGTGGCTGTCCGGAAGGCAAGCACGCCTGAGTCCCCTGCTAAGAGCGAGGTACAAGGGCTGGGTTGGGGCGAGGGCAGGGGTGGGGCAGTGGGGGTCAGGCAGTGCTGTCTGGCATGGGCTGCCTCCCTCAAGACTCCAGGGCAGGACAAGATTATCTTCTGAAGTCCCTGGGAAACAGAGTACCACCCCAAAGTGAAGGCCCAAGCGACTCCCCATATACTCTGTCCAGGGAAAGAGCACTCCCCACACACCCACACCCACCCCACACACAAAAAACACGTGTATGTCCCCGCAGAGGCCAGTGCCATGCTGAGAAGGCCAGGGAGGTGGTCAAAGGAAACTGAGCCTCCATTAGCTCCAGGATGAACAAACTGCCAGAAAAGCCCCAGGAGGTTATTCTCCACCCCTGCCACTTCACTCCTGTACTGTGCACTGTGGCTTTGAATTTTCCTTTCTTTGTTCATTGCAGGAACAGTTTTGAGTGCCCACTAGATTCCAGGTGCTAAAGATCTAGAGATGAGTAAGATGATGCCCTTCCTAGCCGTAGGTAGCCTGGCGCTGGAGGCAATTGCAAGCCAGCATGACAGAGACTATGATAAGGACATGATAAGGTGCTGTGGGGACCCAGAGAAGGGAGCTCTTGACAGACTGGGGAGTTCAGCAAGACCTCATAGAGAAGGGGTGTCGAACTAATCTAAAGGGATGAATTGGATGGAAGAGTGGGTCTACCTCTATATAACTGTGGAATTACAATGTGCCAGAGCAGGGGCTCCCAAACTTGAGTGGGTCTCAGAACCACCACCTGGGGGACTTGGAATGCAGATTCCCAGCACACACACACATTCCCCCCACACCCCCGGAGTTTCTTATTTAGTAGGTCTCGGGTGGAGCCCAAGAATTTGCATTTCTAGCAAGTTCTTAGGTGATGCGGAGGTTGTGACTCTCCAATGTGGTGTGCTGCTTCCAGGCTTTGTGAATAACCTCTTAGCCTCATCTGTAAGATGGAGATTATCAGAGGCTATGAATGTTTTTTTTAAATAAAGATTTTATTTATTTATTTGAGAGGGAGAACGAGAGCAGGGGAAGACAGAGAAGCAGGCTCCCCACAGAGCTGGGATCCCTATTCAGGGCTCTATCCCAGGACCCCAGGATCACAACCTGAGCTAAAGGCAGATGCTTAACTGACTGAGCCACTCAGGTGTGCTAGAAGGTTATGAATGTTAACAGATGTATTACACATAAGACAGTTAACACCCTGGTACACAGGAAGCACTGAAAAAATGATGCTTTTATTTTATCACTGTTATTGAATATAGTGGGGACTCATGAAAGGGCCTTTAGCAGGGAAGTGGCTAGATGTGTATTAAAAAGAAGTTACGTGGGGTGTGGGGGGGCTCCTGGGGGGGGGGCTCAGTTGGTTAAGCATCTGACTCTTCATCTCAGCTCAGGTCTTGATCTCAGGGTCATGAGTCCAAGCCCCGAGTTGGGCTCTAAGCTGGGCTAGAGCCTACTTAAAAAAGAAATTACCTTAAAAGAAAAAGAAAGAAAGAAATTACCTATTATCCAGGGGGAGCTAAGAACTGAATTGTAGTGAGACTTGAGTCCTTGTAACCTGCTAGGAAGCCGCTGAAACAGTTCTAGGCAAGAAACGAGGAGCCCTGACCTAAGGTTAATAAGGCTCTGGGGATGAAGAGAGAATGGGCTTAATAGGTCCCAAGAGGTAGAAGCCCGGAATAGGACCCATCCTAGAGAAATCTGCACTTTTTAGGAAGCTTTTGTTATTGTTAAAGATTTTATTTATTTGAGAGACAGAGAAAGAGCGAGCGAGTGCAAGAGAGAGAGCAGAAGCTGGGAGGAGCAGAGGGAGAGGGAGAAGCAGACTCGCCCTGAGCAGGGAGTCTGACTCGGGGCTCAATCCCAGAACCCTGGGATCATGACCTGAGCTGAAGGCAAACACTTAACCTACTGAGCCCCCCAGGCCCCCCAGGAAGCTTTTATTTTTTTATTTTTTTTTGAAGGCGGCACTAAACCTCTGGGGCACTGGGGCTGCCCCCCAGGAAGCTTTTTATTTTTTATTTTTTTAAAATCATACTAGGGCGCCTGGCCGACCCAGTCGGTAGAGCATGTGACTCTTGATCTCAGGGTCATGAGTTCTAGCCCCATGTTGGGGGTAGAGTTTACTTTAAAAAAATCATACCAAAAGTACCAATTTTATTTATTTATTTGTTTATTTATTTATTTATTTATTTGATTTTATATATTTATAGTTTCTCTTGATAAATATGTGATTTTTATAAAAATTCCAATATTATGTATAATGGAAAAAAGTAAAAATCCCTTCCAATTCTACCTTCAGAGATGATGTCTGTTGGCAACTTGCTTTATGTTCCTCAAGATTTTTTTTCCTGGAAATTCATGTGTATATTTTATAGGAATTGTTCTATAAAACCTGTTTTGCTTTCCTTTTTTTTTTTTCCGCTTAGCACTGTGACCCAGAGCTCTTTGTGTGTAATTAAGAGATTTACCATGTTCTTTTTATTTTTATTTTATTTTTTTTAAAAGAGATTTTATGTATTTATTCATGAGAGACACAGAGTGAGAGAGGCAGAGACACAGGCAGAGGGAAAAGCAGGCTCCATGCAGGGAGCCTGGCATGGGACTCGATCCCGGGTCTCCAGGATCACGCCCTGGGCTGAAGGCGGCGCTAAACCGCTGGGCCACCTGGGCTGCCCACCATGTTCTTTTTAATAGCTGCACAGAATCTCACTGTAGGGAAATATCAGGAGTCACTTGCCAGTTCCCTGTTAAATGGACATTCAGGGCCTGGAAGACCCTAGAATCAGGCTTACATTTCTGCTCTGAGGGAACAGATTTGAGAGCAGTTATCTCAAGGGCAGACATTTGTTGGGGCTTTGACCATGTGTCCTGAACCTCTCTGGGCCTCTGAGCTGCCTAAGTTGACTATGAGGCTTCAACTTAGTGCACCATGTTGCTGTGCTTATTTCAGAGGTCATTATTGTTGGGTGGGTACTAATAAGTAGCTTCTAGTCTTGCTTTGCGATGGGGCGCAGGTAGGAGTGTGCCAGGTGAGTGAGGATTTCGTGACCATTTTGCCCTGCCTGTGGTCCATGCAGAGACCAGGGACTCACTGGCTCTCTTCTCCTAGGTACAGCCCATCCAGCCCACACCAGCTGTGCCCCAGCCTGCGGTGGTCATCACCAGCCCCGCCCCAGCGGCCAAGCCATCTGCCTCTGCTCCCATTCCAATCACCTGCTCTGAGACCCCTACTGTCAGCCAGTTGGTATCGAGTAAGTGGCTCCAGAGAAGGTTGTAGAGGAGAGGAGAGGCATGTATTCAGATACCCCTGCACGTTTAGATGCTGCTGTCTTTAATAAACTTTCTAGAGTCCAAAGGGGAAGAGCAAAGGCCTGACGCCAGGGATTGGCTTTCTTATTCTCAGTCCTGCGGAGCTGGATTCTAAGCATGATGATAGTGGAGGCTGCTCCTTTGAGAAGCCAACTCATTGGCTGTCTCTCCCTTGGTCTCTCACCTAGTGCTTGAGGAATGTAGATAGCTAAAGTGTGCAGGTGTGCTTGGGGCTAAGGAGTAAGGAGAACGGGGGAGGGCCGGCCATTAGAGCTATAAGAACTTGAAAATAGATCCCTACTTCCAGACAGGTTAGTCCAGGCTCCTTTCCCCCAAGTCCTGTTTGCTTTGGAAATAGGGGTGATGAGGGGATTAAGGGTACATGGGCCTTTTGTCAAATGTCCTCCTCCCTCACTGTTTCACCAGGCCAGGCTGATAAGCTAGATAAGCAGTAGTATCATCTGTCTTACACACTCACCCCTGGTCCCTTCCTCTGGCCCAGAGCCACATACCCCAAGTCTGGATGAGGATGGAATCAACTTGGAAGAGATCCGGGAGTTTGCCAAGAACTTTAAGATCCGACGGCTGTCCTTGGGCCTCACGCAGACTCAGGTGGGTCAGGCTCTGACTGCCACGGAAGGCCCAGCCTACAGCCAGTCAGCTATCTGCCGGTGAGTAAGGCTGCTCTGGACCAGGTCAAGGCCTGCTCAGACACCTGATGTCACTAGACACTCACTGGGACCCGGGTGCATGGATCCTTTCTGTGTTCTCCCTTGCTCCTACCTCCTTCCAGCCCGGGAGGGCTGTTCTGAGCCTAGGCATGAACACCTAGAGTAGCCAAAGACTGATCTAGTCCGTCTGAAGGCCCTCTGAAGTTTATCCTCTAATCCTGAGCGTTTATATGGTCTTTTGGTGGGGGGACCCCGAGACCCTAATCCATTCGGAACCCTACAGGGAAAGGAGTACAGCTTATGAAGTTGCTCACAAAAGTGGGACCTCCGGTCCTGACTTAGCTCTCAACCACGACCCCCCTACTCCCCCTCTTATGCTCTTATCTCTCCCTCCTCCAAGGCATGGCTAGAAAGGGATATCAGCATTCGGACTGGTTCTGGTGCTAGCCACAGAGGAGGGCGGAGGGTCTCAAAAAGAATGAGCACATGGCTCAGAGATGGCCAAAAAGTTCCTGCCAAGCCCGTGGATTAGACAAGTGAGAGTGCTGGACCAGGTGCCCTGTTGGCAGTTCTGTGGTCGCATCTAGGCTTGGCTGGAAAGAGTAGTCTGACTTGATGATGCTGATGTGAGACTGAATTGGGGACTGTGGCACTTGAGACATCCATGTGCCCTCTCTAAAGGCCTCTGTAGACAACTTCTCCAAGGACCCCACTCATTTGGGTGTGAATGTTCCGGAGTTGTTCATAGGGCAGTTGCCCTGTCATCCTTGCACCACTGAACTAAGGCCATGGGAGTGGTCTCCCTGTTATGACCTGGGATCCAGGACAGCCTGAGGAGTTTGGGCTGGGCTGGGCCAGGGTGGTCTTGGTGGGGTTGGGGAGGGGAACACTGAGTACAGTGTCACCGGTCCTGAGAGGAGCAGCCCCTCGCGGAGAGTACTCCCCAGTGTGGGGTGTAGGACATTCTCACTGTCCCTTCCGGGCCTTGGGTCACCCACAGGTTCGAGAAGCTGGACATCACACCCAAGAGTGCCCAGAAGCTGAAGCCAGTGCTGGAGAAGTGGCTGAATGAAGCCGAACTCCGGAACCAGGAAGGGCAGCAGAACCTGATGGAGTTTGTGGGAGGGGAGCCCTCCAAGAAACGCAAACGCCGCACCTCCTTCACCCCCCAGGCCATAGAGGCTCTGAATGCCTACTTCGAGAAGAACCCGCTGCCCACAGGCCAGGAGATCACCGAGATTGCTAAGGAGCTCAACTACGACCGGGAGGTCGTGCGGGTCTGGTTCTGCAATCGGCGCCAGACGCTCAAGAACACCAGCAAGCTGAATGTCTTTCAGATCCCTTAGGGCTCGGCCCCCAGCCTTGCGTTCCAGCACTTTGTACTATTCCCTTGGCACCTGGCTGCAGCCACTGCCGTGACAGCACCTGTCCACGGGCAGCTGTGCTCGTCCGGGGTCGTGAGAGTCCACTGTGTGCATGTGCATCCACTGCCTCCCTCCTGTCCTCCACATATCTCACAGCCTGGGGAGGGCGGAGGGGCCCACCCGAGGACTCCAGGCTCTTCTCGGGGCCGGTCACGCCAAGGGACCCCTCCCTTAAGTGGTGTCACTTAAAGAAGCACTTTGCTAATGTGGTTTTCAAAGGGTGAGTCCTGGTTGGGAACCAGAAACTCTCCGTCTTTGGGGCAGGGCCACCGCAGCCTCTGAGGACCCCTGGCCATTAGCTCTTGTTTTTGATGGCATTCTCTCTCTCCACCCTCCTTTCCCCTTTGCTCCTCTGTGTAAGCGTGGCAGGTACAGCAGCTTGTCCAGCGGAACCACAGCCTCACCTCCCAGGCACACTGTCCCTGAAAGGACCCAAGAGGCACAATTCTGAAAAGTGTGATGAGCTGCTCAGAAGGTCAGGCTCAGTGTCCGCCTTGCCTTCAAGGTCAGAAGGTTCCCACAGCCCTGGGGCCAGAACATGTGATCTCCTTTCCCATTTCTTCCTGATTCCTTTGGGGGGAAATTGCACTAAAGCAGAACCTTTTCACGTGTGATCCGTGTTGGAAGGAAGCAGCTTTGAACTCTAGCTGTCCAGGAGCTGACCTAGGTCTACAGCAGGTTGGGAACTAAATAAATAAGCCCATCCTCCCAGATTTTAGTCTAATTTCTGCCCATGGCTGTCCCCCCACCACTAAACAGTGAGGCTTATAAAGAACTGGCGGCCTATAAAAATCGTGCTTCCCAAGCTTCCAATTGTTTTTCCCCAGCACCTGGAGAAAAAAGAGGGAAGGGATCTGACTCTCTTTCTCTTGTCCTCCCACTCACCCCCAACCCAGTACTGGGCCTTCTCACAAGGGGCAAGTGAAACCCTAAACCTGACAGCAAGACCCTGGGGAAAAGGTCAACATCCAGAAAGAGCTGACGGCAGCCCAGGAAGGTCTCTTGCGGAAGGTGACTTAACTCTAATTTTCTTTGTGACTTTGAGCCTTGGATACCGGAGGAGAAATCTTATTTTGTCCAAAGTCTTAGACCACGTGTTTGTGCAAGCAATCCCCCCACCCCCGGCCCCATGCTCCTCTGAGTCAAGAAGACCCCCCAAAGCAGGATGGGTGTCACCTGTAGAGAGGACAGCTATGGCACATTGAGGGCTGGCGTCTCATCCAAGCTGCTAAGTGAGTTTCCCAGCCTCGCTGTGGCTGGACAGTCCCTGGAACTCAGTATATTGCTCCGGGAGGTCAGGGGAGCACTAGGAGGTTTGCTTAGATGAACCTAGACTTGCTGTGTAGACTGTCCCTAAAGGGCCACCAGTCACAGGGCCGGGTCTGCAGCAGCTGCCCCGCACTGCCCCTCACATGACACACCCTGACGTGGTGGCAAGGGCATGTCCCCACCCCCGCTGGATGCAGAGCCACCTCCTCGTCCAGCTTCCTCTGGCTTGCTGTTGTTTCCTGGTCCGTGTCCGGCCCGACCTTGCAGAGTGGCCACACTCTTGGTGCCCCGCCAGTGAGAGGACAATTGTGTCAAACTGCCGCACACACACACACACACCGCCACCCCTGCCCCACTGTGTTCAGACCCCCCAGGCCTCCCTGAGTGTGGTGGGAGTGAGGAAGCAAGCGAGCACCTTAACTGCCCCAGCCTCCCAGGAAAGAATACGTGTCCCATGGCGGGGGCAGGGGGGGCTTCACCCTCAGATTTAGGGTTATCAACTCTGTCTCAGGGAGATGCGGAGCTCACCTGGGAGGGTCGCTGTAAACAAGTTGGCCGTCAGAAGAGTTAAAGTCCTGGAGCTTGTAAAGGCCTCAGTGACTCACACTCCAATAAATTACAGGGAGGCAGGTTTGTCGCCCTCAAGCACTTGTGTTCAGCTATGCTTTCTTTTTTGGGAGAGACAAGTGGGTCACAGCTGGAGCCCTGGGAGTAGCGTATAATCCCGGGTGTGTCCATGGCAGGAGATATGCAGGAGGATGCCATCTGTCCTGGTCTGGGAAAGGAAAGCGATAATGAAGTTCTGGTCTAAATTAGGCCCGGCCATGCTTTCTCAGCTCCTCCTTTTTCTAAATTTGTCTTCCCGAGGCTGGGCTAAGGATGAAACCGGTTTCTCTTCTCCAGGAAGGATGGGTAGGTCTTTCGGAGGGATGACACCAGGGGCAGAATTTTTGCAGGCTGAATTCCCACTGCAGAGTGCCCCCCTCCCCCCGAAATGGCCCAAGGCAGAGCTCACAGCCCTGCTGTCCCTACTGCTCCCCGACTGTAGGGTCCTCAGGAGTAGCTATCTGTACCCAAGGGGGGGTTTTTGCTTTGTTTCTGGTAGCATCAGGCTCTGAAGGGAGTTTATATAATTTTTGTTTTGAAAGCACCTTTCTGGACAGAAGCCAGAGCTTCGTGGCCCCTTTGCCGTGGAAAGGCAGGAGAAGGGACAGAAATGATCTGTTTGTGTGTGGTATTGTTTGTTTTAAGCGAAAGAAAGACCAAAACTTTCCATGGCCTAGTGAATCAGCTGGGGTCTTTGAGCCTGCACTGTCCACGGCATTTCATCTAGTGGGGGCCCAGGAAAGAATTTGGCCCCACGCGATTGAGGAACACGCTTGAGTTTGGAATGAGAGACCCTCACGTTTTTCATGTCCTTGGACCCTATCACCTTCCTCTGCCTAGATTCCCTTCCTGTCCCCTAAGGCCAGGCTCTGACACTGGGGTTCTGACCCCGACATGGGGCAAAGCCTGCCAAGGGCTGGAGTGACGGGCGGGGAGGGAGGAATGGGGATGAAGCACTTGGTGTAGTTGTGTGGAATAAACAGTATTTTTCTTTTGTACTGGTCTGCTTGTCTGTCCTTCGCCTCGCGGGGTGGGGCTGACAGGGAGAAGCCAGGTGCGTGCCAGGGAGCTGCCCTTGTTATCAGAGATTGTAGCCTAGAAAACCCCATTGCAAGAGGGTGCGGGTCAGTGCCCTGGACTCTCCCTTCAGAAAGCCCTGCCATGACCCTCCCACCATGGTCAGCCCCACGGAATGCCGGGCCAAGATGTGCCCTTTCTCCTTCTAGGACCTCAGGATTCCCTGCAAAGCCTACTCTCCGTCCCCTCTTGTCTGGGTCTGGACCGGCTGTGCCATTGGTGTGCACACTCCCAGGCCCAAGAGGCGACCAAGGGGCAGCTATTTGTCAGGGATCTGGGGGGATGGAGAGTGGATATGCGAGCTGCAGGGTTTATAAATACACACGAAGTCCTTTGCTTAAATACACAGCCCTTTGTATAAATACACACCCACCCCCTCATGAGGTGGCTCTGCCAGAGGGAAGAGAAGCAGACTGTAGACTGAGGACCAAGACTGCGGAACATACTAGCACAGAACTTCCAAGAGTGCTAGAAGTCTAAATTCAAACCTCGTCTTCCAGGTTATTACGAAGGTATGCTTATCGTGACGCAAGTCTAGATCATTCATAATTAACTTATACTTTATACAGATTTAGCTACACGGTAGGTGGCTCTTCATCTGTGCTCTTCCTTAGGCCTACAAATGTTAGAGGCAGACGTGGCACTTGGGCTTAGAGCAGGGAGAGCATGACTGCTAGAGAGGGGCCTCTCTTTACTTGTCTACCTCCTAGGAGTTGGGTTCATGCTGTGCACCCCTGCAGCCCTCCCTCCTCCCCCTTCCACCTACCTGGTATTATGAGGTCTGGGCTCCCATCATCTAAACTGAGAGCAAGACATCACCTTTGATTCCACCCAACCAATATCCCTGAGCCAGGCCCTATGCTGGATTCTAGATGCAGGCTCTACTATGTCTCCTCTGCCCAAGGGACAATAGGTGCCTAACATTCTGATGTAAGGCTTAGAGATCAGAGGAGCTTTACAGGACTCGGAAACAATGGGGCAGAAAAGTCCAAGAGAAGCCAGCGCTTGCTTCTGCACAGATCTCACAACCCTAATATTAGCTGTCCACGCTAGGCTGGGACTCCTCAGTACCAGGCCAGGGCGCACAGCAGGTGCCTGAGAAACATCAGAAAGATGACTGAATGCATTAGGAAATGATGAGAGCAGAGTCCCTGACTTCACACTACTGGGAGAAAGCAGGTACAGGAGATTCTCAGCAGAATCTGTGCAGGGTTTAGAGTGAATTCACTCCCATATGTGGGAGTGAATGGAATCTGGGCAGCAACTGGCCCTGACCTGAGAAAGGCCTTTCCCAGCAGCTCCCACCAGAAGAGACTGTGGAAACTGATATCTCTGGCTCAAACCAGTTGAATGTGGTTCCTGGCATTTGGCCCAGGACAGCCTGAAAGGAAGAGGGGTGGGTTTGTGGAGAACTGCAGTTTCTATTCCCAGGTCTGAGATGTTCTTTTTAGGTTCCTGGACCCAAATCCGACATGCGTATGGAGGCTTCCCCACACCAACAAGCAGTTCTCGGACACCAACAAGGTATCCAGAATTCCACTCAGTTCTGACACTATCTACCTCAAGCTAGCATCAGATAGCACAGGTAAGAGGTTCAGTCCCACAAGACCACCCTCCACTTCTGATGCCATCACAAGCCCAGAAGACTGTTCTTATCTGGGCTTGTGATTGACCAGCGACAAATTGGAGGTTCCGAGAGGATGCCAATTGTGAGTACGTTACCTATGCTTCTGACCAACTGGCTGTAAATTAGAGGTTCCCATGACCCCCTCTTTGGGTTCATTTAACCTGCTAGAATGGCTCACAGAACTCAGGAAACCCATTTACTCACTAGATTACTGCCTTATTATGCAGGTTATCAAAGGATACAAATCAACAGCCCTATGAAGAGATACATATGGCAAGGTCCAGAACAAAGAAGCGTCTGTGTTCATGGAGCTTAGGGCCCTGGCACAGTGGCACATGGAACGGTTCTGTTTCTCAAACTGGAAGCTCTCTTTACACCCTCCTTTGGGATTTTGATGGAGGGTCCATTGCATAGGCATGGTTGATTAACTCAGGGGCTATTGGTGATTGATTCAGACTCTAGCCCCTCTCCCTTTCCCAGGAATCAGGGGATGGGGCTGAAAGTTCCAACCCACTATTCATAGTTTCCCTGGCAACGAGGCCCCATCCTTAAATGCTTTCCAAAAGTCACCTTCATTAATAAACCCTGCTGTGATGGAAAGGAACTTGTTATGAATCACGATATGGCTCTAAAGCCTCTTCAGAAACTGCAGACAGACCAAATAGCACAAAAGATGCTCCCATAGCTCTGTTGTTCAGGAAATTCCAAGGGATTTGGAAGCTGTGAGCCAGAAACTGTGGGTAAAGACCAAATATTTATGAGAATATATTTTGCTTGTCTTGAGAAGTAGGCAGGACAAGTGCTAGGATCTCCTTTTTGTCAGTCATAATAGCTAATGTTTACTGATCACTGATCATGTGCTAAGTACTCTTCCAAGCACTTGACATGCATTATGTCAGTTAATGCTCACCATAATTCTGTAAAGTAAGAACTACTATTATACCCATTTTATTTTACCTTATTTTTTATATTTTTAAAAGTTTTAAATTCAATCTGCCAACATACAGTATAACACCCAGTGCTCATCCCATCAAGTGCCCTCCTCAGTGCCGGTCACTATAACCATTTTATAGGTAAGGAATTGAGGCACAGGGAAGATGAGGAATGTACTCAAAGTTGCGTGGTTTGTGAGCTGCAGAACCACGTCCTGAATCCAGGTATGTTGCCTCTAAAGCCTGTGTGCTTAACCTTACCCCATACAGGATAGAACTTGGGAATTGATTTTCTGTCCTGATCTTTTTGGTGGGATTTCCAAGTGTTTTTTCCCTCCAGGGTAAGCTCTGCTGTGTTCTGTAGAGGAGGAAGAATTTTTCTTTACCCTTTTAGGTTCTTTTGGTGGGTCTATTAATTATATTGACATAAAACACACTAAAGGAGAAAAACTAATCTAATTACATGTATACAACAGCCCCCTGAGACTATGAGACCCACAGGTGGGCAAGCAATTGGGGCTTGTATGCCATCCTGAGCTACGAGGGGTCTGAGACTTCAAAGGGGAGGAAGATAACTTACAGGAAGATGGGAAGAGTAAATATTCGGTAAGCAAATGTTTGCCATGGCAAGCAGAGACAATGGAGCCAGACAGGAATCTGAACAAACAGGCCCTATTGAGCTTCCCACTTAGCTCATATTCTTTGTAGTTATCTCTGATGATAGTTCTCTTCCTGGACTAGGCCCTCTATCTAAATTATTTTAGGCAGTTAAAGGGAAGATAAAAGCTCTTCCTTAGCTTTGCAGGCCTTGATTGACTTCAGCTCAAAACAATCCACAAGCCAAAAATGCACATTTGGGGAAGCTCATTCTGGACCCCTTCAATTTCATCTAAACAGCGTCTGGTTTCAGGACCTAATCTAGGGAAATGAACCCTTTACAGATAAGCCTTAACTCCACCCAGTGGTCCACAGGCTCTGTGCCACAGGTGCCCTAGTTAATTACTCATATTTATTATATCTAATAAGAACCATGATTTTTGTTGTGGGATAAATTTATGCATACAAAATTTGTTTTTTTGATAGGTGGTACTGGATTTCTTGGGGAATCTCTGGCGATCTTTTCTTGGAAGCAGAGCTCCCAGGGCTGCCCCTGAAACCACTGTTTCCAGCCCTGGCACTCCAATTTCACTTTTAGTTACATTTGGAAGGCTAAAGGCAAAAAAAAAAAAAAAAGGAAAGTGAAAGGAAGGAAAAAGTCCACTCCCCCCAGTCACGCATTCCAGGGGTGAATAGTCTGTAAAATCTTTTCCCCACAGGGGGATCTGGGCTCACAGACATAAATCTCAAGACTGGTCTGCATTCCAATTGGGAGGGGCCAAGGCTTAGGAATTACGTCTTATCTTATCCTAGTTTATTTTAGAATTAAATAAATGGTAAGGAGTACTTTAGTGGTCTTTATTTTGGTTCAGAATTTAAACTTAAGGGGTGCCTGGGTGGTTCAGTCAGTTGCATGTCTGCATTCATTTTGGGTCCTGATCCCAGAGTCCTGGAATGGAGTAGTCCTGCATAGGGCTCCCTGCTCAGTGGGGAATCTGCTTCTCCCTCTGCCCTCCCCCTGCTTGTGCTTTCTCTCTCTCTCAAATAAATAAATAAAATCTTAAAAAAAAAAGAATTTAAACTTAAGCTCAAACATTTCTGAGAAGGAGAAGTCTATTTTTTTCTAAACATTTTCCAGAGTACAGGAGTCCATAAGATTCCGGATATGGTAATTTTCTCTTGCAAATGGCTATTATGAATATTCCTTGTTTTATTTTACTTCTTAATTTTTAAAAAATATTTTATTTATTTATTCACAAGAGACACACAGAGACAGGCAGAGACACAGGCAGAAGGAGAAGCAGACTCCCTGTGGGGAGCCCTATGGAGGACTCCATCCCCAACCCAGAATCACGCCCTGAGCCCCTGAGCCGAAGGCAGACACCCAACCGCTGAGCTACCCAGGTGTCCTCCTTATTTTATTTTAAATCCATTCATTTTGACCTATTTTTCTGCATATTAAAAAAATGTTTCATCCAAGGTATCTTCATGTGTGCAATTTTTGCTAATTCAATATCCTCACCTCCACAAGCTTCAGAATACATCTCTGAAAAGAACAGGCAGGAAGCAGATCTTTTTTAGGTTAAAACCATCCCAGGGACAGAGTGGTATGACAGTTAGATGTCCAGACTGTGAGATCAGTCAGGCTTCACTACTCACAAACTGGGTGATCCTGAACAAGCTATTAATTTTTCTAAACCTCAATTTCCTTATTTATGAAATGAATCTAATCATGGTACCTTTCTTATAGGAGTGATGTGAGCTTATATACATAAAGCACCTAGTCAGGGTTTGGCACTGAGGAAGGGCTCAGTAAATATGAGCCTCTCATTATTACATCAGAGATTTAAAGTTATTTGGTCAGTTTATGCAGGTAGTGATGGAGCTGTTACTCAAGGAGGCATGATTCCATCTAACAGGTGTGTAAAAATACTCTGGATATAATATTTGTACAATTTTTTTTAAATTTTTATTTATTTATGATAGTCACAGAGAGAGAGAGAGAGGCAGAGACATAGGCAGAGGGAGAAGCAGGCTCCATGCATCGGGAGCCCGACGTGGGACTCGATCCGGGGTCTCCAGGATCACGCGCTGAGCCAAAGGCAGGCGCCAAACCGCTGTGCCACCCAGGGATCCCTGGATATAATATTTGTACAAAGGAGTTTGATTATGGCATCTCTCTTTTGGTTTCTGAGCCTAGGACCAGTTATTTTACTTATAGGCACATGTTTTGAGATAAAACTGGCTCAAAGGAAAAAGAAATGGCTTGAAGAGATATTAAATGTTCCAGGAACGAACAAAGGTTTGGATGCCAGGGCTTATTAAGGTAAGCCTAGAGCCCTCAAAGAGAGAATCTTGTGGCTGAAAACTGGGGGCACGCTATTAACTTCATATCAACCTCTTTCCTTTATTTCCTTTTTTAATTCAATAAGCATTTTTTAAAAGTCCTATTGAAAGCAGAAACTACTAGGAGATATATAGAACACAAGTCTGAAAAAGATTTATTTTCTATTATTTAGAAACTTGCAGTCTGGTGAAAAAGGCAGATATATACGACTCAAGACAAATTGTAAAAAGTTCAATAATGGAATACAACAATGAACCAAAACTTTAACATATAGGCAATATTTTATAGTGAAAAATACCAGGCTTGGGAATCAAGCTCTGAAGTTTGCATGGCAATTTAGCGGTGGCGAATTTAAGCCCAAGGGCTTCTTTCCCTACTGGTAAAATGAGGGTCATCATATTTAGCTTTAGAATTCTAATTATAGGGACCCCAGGATGGCTCTGTGGTTGAGCAGCTGCCTTTGGCTCAGGTAGTGATCCTGGGGGTCTTGGGATAGAGTCCCGCATCAGGCTCCACCCAGGGAGCCTTCTCCCTCTGCCTATGTCTCTGCCTCTGTCTTACAAATAAGTAAATAAAATCTTTAAAAAGGAGGGGGGGGGCACCTGGGTGGCTCAGTGTTGAGCACCTGCCTTCCACGCAGGGCGTGATCCAGGAGTCCTGGGATTGAGTCCCACACATCAGCCTGCTTCTCCCCCTCTCTCTGTGTGTCTCTTATGAATAAATAAATAAGATCTTTTTAAAAAAAATCTTAAAAAAAGAATTATAATCGCAATTACGCGCTTGTCTTGAGGGATACTAATAATGTCATAAAGTTCCTGACATATAGTTGATGCTTAATAAACAATGGACATTATTATTTGGTCCTAAATAAAGGAAGAAGGTGGACCGGGTATGGTTATCCCCACTTTGCAAACGAGGAATCTCTATCTCCACGAGAGTAAACGATGATTCGAGAGTCACCAGACCCGTTAAGCGAAGCCGCCAGCCCGAATCCCAAATCTTCAGACCACGACCTTTTAAAAACTACAACTTTCAGCCATCTCCTGCTTTCCCGTCCAAAATGCATTAGGGGGAACGCGGAAAGTGAGCAGAAGCGGAGTCTTGACCTTCGGAGAGGGGGGCTTAAGGGCAGGGAGTATTCCAGCCGCAGAGGAGCGCCTACGGGGAGGGAGCCCCGGGGAGGCGGCCCGCGATCCTCCAGGGCCCGGGGCGGGTCCGGTAGGCCCGGAGCGCAGGCCGCACCCGCGCCCCAGAGCGCGGACTGGGAGCCCGCGGGAGGCAGCCGCCAGGTAGCCCCAGGCAGTGCCCTTTAAACTGGAGCCACCCGCCGCACGCGGGGCCCTCTCCCGGACCGCCCCGCCCCGCCCATCCCGCGCAGCTAGCCTATCAGCACTGCCCGGTCCACGGGCTCGCCTCCTCATTGGCGAGCCGCAGGGTGACGTCACGGTCTCCGGACCCGCAGAGGAAGAGGGCGCCCTGATTGGCTGGCGCCGGGGGGGGCGGTGGGGGGTACCCCGGCGAGCCTGGGTCTCCAGCCGCTGCTGGGCTCTCCCCTTCCCTGTTCCGAGGCCGTGAGGGGGGCGGGGGGGCTGCTGCAGGGGGCGGGGAGTCGGCTCGGCGGACCCCTGGGTTTGGTTCTGAGGGCCTTGGGGTTGAGGAGGGCTGACCGGAAGTGAGCGCGGGGCTGACCGGAAGCGAGGCCTGGAGGGGAGACAGGCGGCGAGCGGGCGAGCGGGCGAGCGGGCGCGGGTCCCCGGAGGGAGGGGGCTTCCCGGAGAAGGGGCCTGGCGGGGGGCGGGGGGGAGGTGCCGGGGCGGGTGCGCGCGCCGGGCGGGCAGCGGGTCGCTGCTGCGGGTGTGTGCGGAGGGCAGCGGGGGAGGCCGGGGCTGCCTCGGGGGCCCGGGGCCGGTGGAGCCGAGGGGCCCTCGCGCGGCTGCGGAGGGCTGGGTGCGAGGGAGTCTGGAGGTGGAGGCCGGAGCTGGGATTAGCGGTGCGGGCGGTGCGGCTCCGGCCTGGGGTCGGCCCGAGGGGTCTGCGTGGGCGACCTCGGGTGGGAGGGCGTCCCCGACAGCCCTGCGCCCGCGCCCCCCGCCCCCCGCCCCGTGGGGTAGAACCCCACCGCTCGCCTTTGTACGAGGAGCAGCGGGGTCTCCTGGGGCAGGGAAGGAGCCAGCATGGCCTGGGCCCTGAAGCTGCCCCTGGCCGACGAGGTGATTGAATCCGGGCTGGTGCAGGACTTCGACGCTAGTCTGTCCGGGATCGGCCAGGAACTGGGTGCTGGTGCCTATAGCATGAGGTGAGTGAGCTTGCTTGCTTTTTTTTTTTTTTTTTTGATCCAGACCCTTGTACTCTTCTAAATAACAAAAGCAGGAAAGAGAATGGAAGGTGGTGTGTGTGTGTGTGTGTGTGTGTGTGTGTGTGTGTGTAGGGGGTGGGGGGTGGGGACAAAGGGGGAGGTGTTTATAGAGTTAAATAAGCTGTGGTTAGGGAACGTGGACTCGTTTCTTTGTTGCTCTGAATAGGGGCTGTTGTGAAAGAAAGGAAGCCGGAGGTGGTGGGCAGCGTCAGGTCTGTGCGGGGTCAGTGGAAGATGCAAGAGGGGCCCTTGGTTAGCAAAACAGGTGAAGGTGCACAGGGTGTCTGTCTGTCGTGCCCAACGCGGGAGACTTAGAGATGCGACAAGGGGCGACGTGGGGCCTGTTAGGGATGGATGTTCGGGAGTCGGGGAGCTGGGGCTGAGTGATGGAGGTCGGTTGCCTGCTTGTGGGGAGGAAGAGCGAGACCTTCCTTGGGCGAACAAGTCCACGCGTCGGTACTTTGGCCGGCTCTACGGATTCACTCTGGGAATTGTCTGCCTTTTTGAAACATAAGCTTGGAAAAGGAAAAGTCTCGGATAACTTTTAGATACTTCTGGGCTTTATAAGTGCATCCAGGCAGATGTTGATAACAAATAAAAATCTGCGAAAGTAGCGTGACTTCTTCCCGTGTAATTTATTTGCTGTGCGTGAGCTGCTTCATTCCCCAAGTAGAGTTGGTTTCATTTATGAGGCCTACAAGAGTCATTCTGGGACTGTTGAGACATCTGCACCTTAGCGTGGGGTGGAATATAATTGGGTTTCCAAGTGCATTTTTCAGGCTGAAGATAAATATGTGAGTTTTTTTTTTTTTAAGATTTTATTTGTTTATTCATGAGAGACACACAGAGAGAGAGATTGACAGAGACAGGCAGAGGGAGAAGCAGGCTCCATGCAGGGAGCCCAACGCGGGACTCGCCCCGGGGTCCCCAGGACCATGCGCTGGGCTGAAGGCAGGCACCAAACCGCTGAGCCATTCCAGGGATCCCTCTCTCTCTCTCTCTCTCTTTTTTTTTTTTTTTTTAGTATTTTATTTATTTATTCATGAGATACACAGGCAGAGGGAGAAGCAGGCTCCATGCAGGGAGCCTGATGTGGGACTGATCCCAGGTCTCCAGGATCACACCCTGGGCTGAAGGCATATGCTGAACCGCTGAGCCACCCAGGGATCCCCAATAAGTGAGTTTTCAAGAGACTTTAGAACATCACAGTTTGAATTTACGGATTTTTAGGGGAAGGGTGTTTTTTTTTTTTTTTTTAAAGGGGGGAAGTGGACAAATTTTATATTCTGATAGTGAGATCCTTTGAGTTATGTAATGTAAACTTCTTGTCTTTGTCCCTGTCAAACCAAAATGGATTTTCCTCACTGAAGTAAAATGAGTTAGAACTTAATACTTCATCTTCAGTACTCAGAATAATAAAGGCTATCCTTGTATATGTATTATAGTGATTTTTCAGGGAAATTTAAGTGCTATCATGCAGTGCTAATTAGGGTTGAGAAATTTAATTCTAGTTTTGCCTGTCCTTGTTTACATAAGTCTGCCCTTAAAAATAGAGATTAGCTTGGTCTGAAAGTAAATGTCCCAATCCTGATCTTGTACAGCAGTAGCTGACATAATATTTGACAATTTGTCCTGCTGTTCATGTAAAGACTAACACAGCGAAAAGTTTGGTTTTCTCTAGATTATCGGAGGATGAAGATAATTAAATGTTACTGTACTTGAAACTGTATGAAAATAGTTAACATCGGGAATCCCTGGGTGGCTCAGCAGTTTAGCACCTGCCTTTGGCCCAGGGCATGATCCTGGAGTCCCGGGATCAGGTGCCGCATCGGACTCCCTGTATGGAGCCTGCTTCTCCCCCTGCCTGTGTCCCTGCCTCTCTCTCTCTCTGTGTCTTTCATGAATAAATGAATGAAGTCTTAAAAAAAAAAAAAAAAAGAGTTAACATCGTCAACAAACATTGTGTGCATCTGTTATGTGCCTTCTGTACCAGGCAACCTTACATTTAAAAATGCTTTCCTATGTCATATACCCGAGTGGTCATCACTGGTATTAGTACCATGTTTTGTGTTTTTACACATTTAGAATTTTTTTTCCTACATCAATTCTATAAGAGTTTTCAAACATAACTTTGTTTTCCCTAGAGCACAATATGCCAAAACTTGAAGTATATTGTCTTCGTTTCTTTCACCTTCCTCTTTTTTATGCATTTTGCTCTTGTCACTCTTCTCTTGACTCTGATACATGTTTAATCATTTGCATTAATTTGTATTTTTTTAAAGATTTTATTTATTTATTCATAAGAGACAGAGAGGCAGAGACGCAGGCAGAGGGAGAAGCAGACTCCACACAGGGAGCCAGAAGTGGAACTCGATCCTGGGACTCCAGGATCACACCCTGGGCTGAAGGCAGCACTAAACCGCAGAGCCACCCACGTGCCCCGAGTTCTTAGATTTTGATGCAGATAGTCCAGCGACCACATTTTAAGAAACACTGACTAGAGGAGTTTTCATACACCGAGACAATGATTCTTTACTCTTGTGTTTCTCCCTTTAACTAAACCTTGTAATCAATTTTCCTACACCTTTATTAGGGAAAATGTTCTCTTTGACCATCTATTTGTTTGTAAGATATATTCCTTAATATATTCATTTTACCCTAATTTGTATATTTTTTGCTGCATCTTATAATGGTTTCACTTCAAATCTATTGATTTATATTTTACAAAGGTTCATCTTTACTGGATTTCTGTTGTTGTTTAAAGATTTTATTCATTCATTCACGAGAGACATAGAGACAGAAACAGACACAGGCAGAGGGAGAAGCAGGCTCCATGCAGGGAACCCTACGTGGGACTCAATCCCTGGACCCCAGGATCACGCCCTGGGCTGAAGGCAGCGCTAAACCGCTGAGCCACCCAGGCTGTCCTGGATTTCCTTTTTGGACTCTTGATCTGCCATTGTATTCAGTAAAGTTCTTTCTTTTTTTTTTTTTTTAGTAAAGTTCTTTTTCTGAGTGGTTCTTTAATATTCTTCTTACTTTTTTCCTTACATTTTAATACACAGAACACATTTTCTAGTTAAAATAAATGAAATTCCCCAAAAACATGCTAAGTAAGAGGAGCCAGTCACAAAAGACCACACAACATATGATTCCACTTTTATGAAATGTCCAGAATAGGCAAACTTACAGAGACAAGAAGTAGAATAGCGATTGACTAGAGCTTGGGGAAAGAGGTAATAGGAAGTGACCACTAATGGTCCTGGGTTTTCTGGGGGTGGGGGGGCAGGAGGGATGTTGATAGAAATGTTCTAAAATAATGGTGAGGGGAACCTGGCTGGTTCAATCGATAGAGCATGTGACTCTAGATCTTGGGGTCATGAGTTCGAGCCCCGTGTTGGGCATAAAGATTACTTAAAATACATAATACGTATATAAAAATAAATTATGATGATAGTTGCACAATTCTGTGACTACACTAAGGACAATGATATGCTTTAGATGGGTAAATTGTATAGTATATGAACTGTATCAAAATAGAGCTGTTACAAAAAAAGTAAAAAAGATTAAATTTTGTAGTTTACTATTTTTTTTAAGATTTTATTTATTAGAGTGAGCGAGCAAGCGAGAGAGAGAGAGCGCTAGAGAGCTCTTGTATAAGCATGAGCAGGAGGAGGAGCAGAAGATGAGGGAGAAGCAGACTCCCTGCTGAGTGGGAGCTTGATGAGGGGCTTGACCCGAGGATCATTACCTGAGCTGAAAGCACTTAACCAACAGAGCCACCTTGGTGCCCCAAATTTTTAGTTTAAAAAGAATTTTCCATCTTTCATTGTTTAAAATTTGAGATGGAATTCACGTCTTAAAAATTAACCATTTTAAAGTGAACTATTCAGTGTTATTTAGTATATTCACAATATTACAACCACCACCTCATCTGTCTAAAAGAAAATCCTGTGCCTCTTATGCAATTGCTCCCCATTTCCACCGCCCCCCCTTTTCCCTGGCAGCCTGTCTGTATGGATTTACCTATTCTGGATATTTCATATAAATGAAATCCTATAATGTGTGACTTTTTGTGTTTGTCTTCTTTCACTTAGCATCACGTTTTCAGGGTCCATTTACATCATAGCATGTATCAGCACTTCAGTATTTCATTCCTTTTTATGACTGAATAATACATATGTAGGTATCACAGCTTATTTATTCATTCATCCACTGGTAGATGTAGGGGTTGTTTCCACCTTTTGACTATTATGAATAGTGCTGATGTATCATTTTGTTTTTAAAGGAGATGACCATGAGATATTTATAAATATTTGTGTACAATTTTTTTAAAGATTTTATTTATTTATTCATGAGAGACACAGAAAGAGAGAGGGAGAGGCAGAGACACAGGGAGAAGCAGGCTCCATGCAGGGAGCCCGATGCGGGACTCGAACCCGGGACTCTGGGATCACGCTTTGAGCCGAAGGCAGACGCCCAACCACTGAGACACCCAGGGGTCCCCGCTAATTTCTTTTTTTAGTGCTCAATAATAGTCTAGTCTGGATGTATCAGTTTATTCATTCACTTACTGAAGGACATCTTGGTTCCTTCCAAGTTTTGTCAATTACGAATAAAACTGTTATGAAACTTCCATGTGCAGGTTTTTTGTGTGGAGATAGTTTCCAACTCTTTTGGGTAAATAACAGCAAGGAATGCAATTCCAGATGATATGGTAAGAGTATGTGTAGTTTTGTAAGAAACTGCCAAACCGTCCTCCAAAGTGGCTGTACCATTTTGCATTCTTACTGGAAATTGGTGAGAGTTCCCTTTGCTCCACATCCTTGTCAGTATTTGGTGTTGTCAGTGTTTCAGATTTGGCTATTCTAATAGGTGTGTAGTAGATACTAAACTTTTTCAATAACTGTCAAACTGTTTTATACAATAGGTGAACCAGT